AACTCCCGAATGTAGCGACATTCTTCACAACCATTTCTTGCTTGCTATCCATTGTCTTAGATGACCAGCAACAGCAATGCAACATATTGTGCCTAGACTGTTTTGAGTACTTGCAAACAACAAAATATGTTCACAAATTGGAGTTTGTTACACCACCACTAATCAATTGCGTTTCTCGGCATCATGAAGGCGAAGGGAACTGAGCGGAGGACAAGATGGATCTCAAGAATGTCTTCTCTCTGCAGAGTATGTCAATTTTGAAAACAACCTTGTAGATGTTCCTTCCACTTTTGCTTTGGAAGAGCAAAATGATACCTGCTACTCTGAATGCTCAAGATACTCCTAGACATGGTCCATTCTTTCCAAAGACAAGTCCAAGCAGTACAATGTAGACGCGTTGAGAGGTATTGTCTTTTCTTTTATTTCGTTTTTTAGCTTGCTTATTTGATTCCTGCTCATCTTCTCAACTATTTCACGTCATCCTTAACCTTCAGTTAAGAATCCACTCAGCTCAAGATCTGAGCTTCAGTTTATCAATTTCAAGGTGTGCACTTTGAATTGCTTTGCTTCATTGGAATTTTGTTGTCTGGTTTTTTTTCTTTTTCACTTCCTTGCTTTCAAACCCAGTATATTCAATTTTGCTACATGTCATGTGCAGAAACTTGAAATTCCATAGTATGGACAAAAATGTGAATTGTTGGCAGGCAAACTATCATAATAGATGTTCAGTGATTCATTATACCAATGTTTTCGGTATGATACTTCCACCTTCAACAATTTTTCAACATCGGTACTTCCATTGGAAAATGTTTCAAGTACCAGAAAGCAAAAATTTTGATTTGACTGGAAGAAGTCCAAGTAGAGATCCAACGTATAAGATTGAAGGAGCATTTTGACAACTTTGAGAAATTTGATAGATGAATTCATTCCTTGATAACAGAAGTATGTAGAGCATATCATAGTTTCAAGTTAAATTCAACTGCCTTGTGCAAGTTTGTCAATATGGATAAATAAAATAAAACTTTTGATTTTGAAAAAGAAGATCATATTAACTGAGTCCAAAGAGTATGTGACAACTTCAATCCTGCAAGCTAAGAATTTAATCACTACCAAGACTTTTTCTATTGCTGCTACAATCATCAATGTGCAATCTATCAAGACATCAGCAATTTGTGTGATATTTGTTAGTTAAAAGCGATGCGTGATCAATCCGTGTGTTTGTTCATTTAAGAATGTGCTAGTTAGTGTGTTAGTTAGAAATGACACTTTAGCAATTTTGTGATCATTAGGTATATTTGCTAGATCGTCAATCCACTAGGAGAGTAGAAAATTTTAAATTTGTGTATATGTTTGAAGTATCTATAAAATGAATAGTAAATCATTTTATGTTTTGTGATATCTTTGAAGTTTATGTTTCATCTTCAAATGAGATTTTTTCTAAACTCTAATGTTACATGAAGCAAGAAAAAAAATATGGGAAGTGATTGAACAACATATTCTTATACCTAATTTTTCAACGGGAGTTTATATGACCTTTAGCAACACATAATGTAATCAAATTCTTTGAATCATAGAATAGCCTAGATTCATGCCACACAAAAAATAAAGAGGTTTTTCCTAGCTATTTATGGCCCTATGCTTTGGAACAAAATAACAAAGTGCTAATTTTGTATTATGCATTGGAAACATTCAAAACTAAACGTGATTTTACGATCTTTTTGGAACTTCATATCAAGTATATCCAACATGAATAATTATTTGATTTCAAATAATCAAAAATAACTTCCAACAACAATAAAGAATGTGTTTTTCAGTTACATACATGACCGCTCTGATTTTTATCTGAAGTTCAACATTTAACAAAGTTACCTTTAGACACATGCGAATTTTGTTTTTGACCCTAGTATTTGTAGAGACGAAGTCACAGTTTGAAGAATTATTGAATCATTTATCACATACGGCTAAAAATGAAATTGATGTATAGTATATTAAGAAGATAGATGCACAGCTATTATCCAAGCGCACATTTTTGCTTCCACAACTAGACAAGATGACTTCAAATCCTATAGAACAGGAAAATTTAAACCTCCTTGAGTTACAAGAGTACACAATCTTCAAGTTAGTGGCAATTCAATGTTTAAGGTAAAAAGTTGCCAAAAGAAATTCAATTTTGATTATTCTAACTGATCTTTGGCATAGCGTCAATCTGAAAATCTATGAAGAGTGGCAGGTGGCTGAGTCCGGTAAGCACAGGGCAGAAATATCTACCGGGGATGGCAGGCAATATATGCTATGCATCATAGAAACTTTTTTATCATGCAAACATCTCATGTCAAGGAATGACAATGACGCAAAAATTTTAGAAAAAACATTTTCATATGTGTTCGAAAATTGAATCTCTTTGTAGCTGTTATGCTCCGAGAGTGTTCAAGGCTTGCACAAGACTGTAGCAAACTTTGTACATGATGATTTCTACACAGATATTGGTCAATTGTTTGATTAGTACCCTATTTGACATTGAATTGCAACAACTTGTACGTGATGATGACAACGTAGGTTGTGAAATAGTGAAGGAACTGTTTAACAGTAAGTCAAATGTTCCAAATGCAAGCAATCAATACACAATGCCACTCAATGTGAAAGGAAGGAAGCTGCGAAAGTTGTAGACATTGTGGACAAGCAAGTACCAACACATATTTTGAAAGTATCCAAATATCACAAGTGCTTCAACATCTTCTATTGGGTTAGTTCAAGGGGACGTATATTTATGGTGAATCAGAAGATAAATCTCAGATTTATCTTCTGATAAATCTGAAAGTTACACTAGAAATGTGATGGCTACTTGAATGATAACATTGGAGTATACTACGATGGTAGTGACATGGATGAGATCCATGATATTGTGCAATGGTAGAGGCAAAAACTATGTTCTCTCTCGAGAGTATCTACTATGATCTGTTAACGTGAATTTGGAGTTTACGCAGTTCATTGTAAAAAAAATTTGCAAAAATTAAAGTCCAATTTCATTTTTGTTGTTTGGTGGGTAGTGCTTAGATTAAAGACTGCTATCATATCATGATGAACCCTCCCTAAACTCGCACTGAGAGAAATATATCAAGCCTACATTTGCCACCAGCTGTGTCATTTCGTTCCCCGACTCAATTGCAAAGATTTGAAGAGCCAAGAGAAACTTTTAGACGTTTTTCCCACCTTGGAGCAATTGAGTTTGAAGAGATACAATCCACCAAGAGGAGAGACTTGCTGGAGATTTTACATTGAGTAGATATCACACTGACCTCGAGAGTAATGAGTCTATTTATGCGTCTGTCCAAAATTTGGAACGTTGAAGGCTTGAACATCCTATACACAAGACACGAAGCGAGCTAGGAAGGAGAGGATATTCGTGGAAAGAGCCAAAACAATTCTATGTTGTGCAGAAAAATAGAAATCGTCCACATTACAGATTTACACTTCTCGGCAAAACATACATGTATGGTCAAAGGAGGACGATCAAAGTCTTAATAACTTAAACATTCTACCACTCTTATAATCCATCATCTTCCTAACAAAAAATTGTGTCTTATTCCCTACCAGCACTTGCACTGCCATCGGTCTGCAGTAAGATGGTACTTACAAGGAGAGAATGCTCGGTGGGAGTAGAATGATATTTACTTTGGCCCCACATGGGCAATCCCTCCCCCACACTATGGCCACCAATAATACAGTAACATGAACTTTGTAATGGAACATGGTTGATGGTGGATTGCAGGGCGTCGTGATCTCCTGTGGTAAGATGAATTTGTTGTGTGTTTTTCTCAGCATATGTTTTGACTCCCGCAGGTCCCATCAACACATTTTCTCGCTTTTCTCGCCGGATTTAAAGGTACGGGAAACCTTACACTGTACTTTAGTAGAACGAATAATTTCCGCAAATTGTGGTTTATTAGTTACTAAGTATTCACGTAACTTCAGTCTTTTTCGTTCGCCGTGTGTTTCTGAAACTCAGGGAAGTAGGAAAAAGTGTCAAGAGGATGTCATGAAAGTACCGAAACTTCTGTCCACTCCAGTTCGGCTTGTGGGACGTCACTCTATATTGCCGACTATGTTAGGCCGAGGACCATCATATAGTAAACCTCTCATATTATTTTCACACCTTTAAAGTTTAATCTTCGACTAATGATCATCTGTATAATGTAGATTAGAAAAGGGAACGGCTAGTTATCCAATATTTTCTAACGGTGTGGCTAGTTATCCCACACTAGTCTAATGTGCCCTACTCCTCCCCATTTCTGTGTGCCCGCGAAGACTTCATCACGGAGCTGTATGTTTACTAGAGCTGGGTTAAACATAGGAATAGCTCTGACCAATCACAGAGCTATGTTCAGTAAGGTGAGGGATAATTAGCGCAAAATGAGGGATAACTAGCCACTCCTTAAGAAAATATTGGTTTGCGGTTTTAGTCATCAGGAATAATTCATTCCCGTATGTTCTACACCAATCTCAGTAAAACCTTAATGAGTTCTTTGCTACAGAAGCACTTTATCCTTGTTTACAACCATAACAACTTAAAGGGTTTTGATACATACCATCGTTGTGCTTTGCAAGAAAAAATGCGGAAGGCAATAAAAATTATAACATGTGTATCAAATGCCTTTATTTCTGATCAAAGTTTTTCACTACAACTTGAGTCGATAAGATGTAACTGCAAAACCACAGGAAACCAGACACTTGTGAGAAAATATAAAAACAAAGATTCCACCGCATGCAAGTGTTTTGTATCCAGATGATGCAAATCAAATTTTTTATGTAATAAAAGACATACATCATACTTCTTATCTACTTCCTAAAAGATTCAAGACACGTATCATGTATTCAATCTTATACATGTATGTAATTTATACACATTCAATACATGTAAATATGCTTCTTGCCTCTTTACAAGACAGAACCAAAAATGACTAAAAGATTCAAAATGATACACATGAGTCAAAAGATGATGTCTCCAAAATCGCACATCGTGTGCAAGCAATAGGAAGAATTTGTCAAATTAGCTTTCTAAATTACAAATATCGCCAATTACACACCCTTGGAGAAGTCCCGAGAGCTGTAAAGCTGCGCGTTCTCTAGAATAGCGGCGGGGCGGAGAAGTGAATTGCCTATTCGCAATCAACTATCTTGCTATTGTGCTCAAAGCTGGAGGACAGATGGGATCCGATTCTGTACTACGTGAAGTACCTACACTTGCTGTGCTGAGTGGTATACTTACATGACCAGATACTGGGTCTTCGACATTTGGGTCTTCCTCGTCCCCAGCAAAATAATCATAATCGTTTGTACGTGCAGAGGAGTCAACATAAACTCCTTCCATTTGTATGGCTTGGGTTAAAGCCCGCACTACTTCCCCCATCTCTGGCCTTTGTGCGCCACGAGGAAGTTGACACATCAAAGCCAATTCGGCAACTTTTATCATACCCTCCCGTACGTATTGATTTCTTAACGCAGGATCCACAATGGTCTCGATCTGGTCGGCGTTCACTGCATTTCTTACCTGCAAAAGCCTCCAAGTAATGAGAGGTTGAAATCTCAATCTGTCCACTAAGGCTATGGATAATCATAACGATTGTCCAAGATAGAGTTGATACGCCTCATCGACAGTTTTGCATTGGCTACACTGCTCATCCAAGGGCCGATCCCACAAATAGCTGTGCTACTCAAGAACCAGTTCCAGCTACCATCTCTTGAAACACAAACATAACATGTAAAGATTCTACACAAAATTGGAATCAAGTTTCTGTCGGTGACAGTTTGGCTCTTACCCACTCTGTCAACGTTGTTGCACTGCTTTTTGGAAACCTATGGCTTTGAGGTTTTCTGCCAGTGATAATTTCTAAAAGAACCATTCCAAAACTGTACACATCACTCTTTGTCGTCAACCTTCGTCGAACATAGTACCTGGATTAGGTGCACCATGAATCATCCACTGTGAGATTCAATTGCAATCTGCATTTTTCAAAATTTTAACTGCAACAGGACGACGAAGACGAAAAGGAATAGCAAGTTCCATAGAAAAGCAAGTCATACTCAGGATCCAAATAACCGAAGGTGCCTTTGATGACTGTGGATACTCCAGTATTGACTTGCGCCTCTTCTGAATCTAGCTCGGGTGCTTGTTTCGAGATTCCCAAATCTGCGACTTTTGCTTGTAATTTGTCTGTCAGCAAGATGTTGGCACTTTTTACATCCCGATGTATAACGGGGGGCTTGCAGTCTTTGTGCAAGTACTCGAGCCCTTCACAAGGTTGCCAGGAAAGAAGATCAGATCAGATGATCAGGTCGCACGACTGAGTTATCCATCTGGCCCAAAATTATTTTTCTCACACTTCTGTGCAGCCAAATGTACAATGCATCTAGCCTCCTCACCTCTTCCCGCACTTATAGCAACATCCAATCGCTTTTTCCAGCTCATCGTTTCGCGTGACGAGGAGACGATGCTATTATCTGATGTACTGGTCGAAGGATTAGATGTAGATGTGGAACCTGAAAAATTCAATGCATAAACATATGAGACATCTGACATTGCATATTACTGACCGATTTCTTTTTGTTTATTCCGATGAAAAATCTCCGATTTATCACTGAAGGTCATCTTTGCTGGAAGTATGAACAACAAGAACCTGAACGAAATAGATGATCTTGCAGAGTGCCCTGCGGCATGTAGACGTAGAGGAGGATCTGTTGCTGTGCTTCTAGACAGTAACCCACCAAAGATACAAGGTTGCGGTGGTGCAATCTTGAAAGAAGTCGGACCTGTCCCGATAAGCAGGTCAGTTCCCCGGCGCATTGGTCAGATATTTTAATGAATTTCCATTGGTCTTGGTCAGTACAATGACATGTGATCAAATTTGCTCTGAACGAAAAAAGACAAACCTGTTTCGATATAACTTCACTATGAATCACGTTACACGTCCTACCTCGTTCAAAAACTCATCTGCTCCCTGTTTGGAATCACTGGCTCTGACTTTCACTGCTACCTCCTTGCCATCTGGTAGTTTTCCGTAGTAAACTGGCCCGAACCCTCCTTTTCCAATCAGAGTTTTGTAGTTCTGAGTAATTGCTTTGATTTCCTTCAACGAAAAACTCTGGGCTGAACTGGGCATGTCCTCTGTGCAGAAGTCAAGGAACACATATCAAAAACTGAATAGGATTTTCACGGGCCTTCACTCATCAGATCCGCATGAAACAGCGTTGAAAGCATGACCTAGGATAATACCTTTCGAAACCTGATCATCACCACCTTTCTTCTTTCTTCTCCTGTATAGAATGGTAAGAACTGCAATTCCTACTCCGATTCCCAGGACTGCAACCACCACTCCAACAATTGCTCCAACAGGAAAACCAGATTTTGCGTTTGGATCCAATATGGTCAGTATATTGGGGTTGTTCCCGTATCTGTAGATGAAAGCAAGCACTGTGTTATGGCTCTGATTCGCATAGGCTTCTGTATCTAAATATCCAAAAACCTGAAACCACTGACTCGCCACAGGAATCCAACTGAGTGCAAACTTACGAAATATTCAAGCCTGCCTTGTTCTGTAGAACTTGGGGTATACCAGTAAAATTGTTATTATCCAGCCACCTACAATACAAAAACAATTTCAACTTTCACAACACTTGATGAAACGAGTGCTGATCAAGAAATATCAGAGGCTAGTGTTGGATGTTGAAGACGTAAACTACAGAAAGTAATCAATATTCTTACAAACATCTTTCACGTAGTGAAATCATTCAACCCTGATGCCTAAAACTGAAAATGACGTTTTCAAAACAAGCTTTGGAAATCTCGCTCATAATACTGCCGGTTGTTGTAGTATTTTGTTGCTACGTACAGATTCTTCAAGTTTGAAAGTTCAGCAAGCGTGCGAGGTACGGTGCCATTGAACCGATTATTCCTGAGGTCTCTGTCATGGTCCAACCTCGTACAAGGCAACGTCGCGTTTGAGAGTTCGGCTTCTGTCAATAATTTAGCAGCCAGTACCTAAAAAATCATATCATCCTGGAATACCCTAAAGTGACAACCTCACTAAATTCATCAAATTTGAGGCACTTTCACTCACAAAGTCTCCAAATCCCGAAGGCCGCTTAAGTCATCCGGAAGTGGTCCTGAGAGATTGTTGTTGTTGATGCGGCTGCAGCTCAGCAAGTCAACAGTTGCCACGGCAGTATCAGATTAAGTATACTTGCTGAGGGAAGAGAGCTTGTGGGCACATACATACAAATTCGTGATCCAGCAATTTCATTTCATGCGGAAATCTTCTCCAGCATACGCATGCCCCACATGACCAACTCCAAACGACAACTTTTAGGAACGTGGAATGAATAAATGTGAAGGCAATCGAGAATCCAATGGATACCTAACAGGGCCATGGGATTCAAAACAGACACACAGTGAGAACAAATAGTACCCCGGACGACTTGATCATGAAGACGGTACATCTGGAGTGAACATATTTACTAGCAGCAAAGCCGAATACTTATGTTGCATTGATGTACACATTCATCTCTCAGACAAATCTCAATCAGCCATGAGGTCCGTTTTGTCATCCCACAAAGTCTTAAGTGGATATGACTTGGTAGAGGATTTAGTGCTACGGAGTAAGAATTGCTATGTATATATTTACATTCAATCATCAACGAATGTAGAGAGATGTTCATACATACATCTCTTGCACATAGGTAAGTTGAGTCCAAGAACTCGGAATTCCTCCGGAGAAAAAGTTGTTGCTGAAAATTCTGAATACAAAACAGAGAACTTATTAAATCGTACAAATGAAGTGGCTAGTGGATGTAAGGTACTTAGTTTCGATAAAATGGTAATATATCAATAGCATAACACGATTCGCCCAAAGATAAAATCTTCACGTCAAGACTGCATCAAACAACGTTCAAGTCTTGTGTTTCAACTTACAGCCTTTCGACTTGATTTCCAGCCGAGCTCTGACTAGAACCAACTGGAACATTTGGTAATGATCCGGAGATAGCATTGTTATCGACATTACTGTGACAAGGGTGATGAGGAGATTGTCAGGTGCCAAAGTATAAGCGAGATAATATTGATGTCTGGTCTGCCCTACAGAAACGCTGATAGGCGTGGTATGACAGAGGCTAAAGTTGTTCCAGTTATCCTACTCCACCATTCATTTTCAGCTGAAAAGAGAGAGTCAATAAATTCAACGGAAGTTGGAGATGAAGATCGAAGTCCACTTACATCGTATTTAGTGCAGTCACTGCTTGCAAATCAAATGGAAAAGATGTCAACCGGTTGTTCTGCAAAGCTCTGATAACACAACATTTCTGTGACAAAGGAAAATTGGTAGATTACACAATGTTTTGTTCGATTGCTGTTCATGTATTACGACAGCTTCATTTAATAAACAGTTCGAGATTTCTTCAGTATTCATACTCTGCCGTCAACAAATTGAAAAATCCCAAAGCAAGTTTGTTGAAGTTATGACACTAAATCAACAGCACCAACTACCACGGACGATAACGAAAACGAACGAGTACCCATTGATCCTAATTTAAGCTGCAAATCTTTTCGAAAGTTGCAAGTACGCAGACCTATACGAACAAGATTTATCACGGTTCAATATGATGTGATGAAAGGGACAGCCATAGAGACTTACATGTGTTCTAGTTTTGCATTTGCGCTGAAGGCAGGCACGGCCCCAGTGAAAGCACAATCGTTTAATACACTGCATGTGTCAAACGAATTCATCTCGTTACATGTGGAAAAAGAGGAAAGCTGAAAGGAAGAAAAAAACAAATTCCAAGCCACTTTGGTTCATCTTTATTCTTTGCGAGTCACGATAAAGTAGAATTGTTAGTTGTGGATTTACTCACAAATTTTTCAGCTCAGTGGCTTGAGTAGTTGATGGAATTGTCCCAGTGAGTTGAGGGTTGCTGCTCAGATTTCTGCAAGGAATATAGAAATATGCTTACAGAAGGAATTACAAAGCGCATAGTATGCAGCATTTACTATCTTCATAGAACCTTCATGTGCCAAAGTTCACACAAGCTGGTAAGGAGAAACTATCTGATACATTATCATTGACATAGAACATACACGATTGACTTTTAAGGCAGCGGAGATGCAGCAACGTACACATCAGTGAGGTACGAATGTTGAAACAAAGCCTGAGGTAATACGTTGACAAAGTTGTTGCTTTGCAGATGCCTGTGATACCAAATGCATACGATTAGAAGTGGATCCAAAAATGGTCACCAAGCTTACAAGGAGTACAAAATGATGAATTACAGCATCACGTCACCATAAGCTCAAGACTTGTACACCCATCAAATGCATAATGTTGCTTTCGTAGAAAACAAAACGTCAACATACTTACAGAATCTCAAGATTAGTCGACCTCCTTAGATCTGGAATGGTGCCAGTCAAATTACAGAAGCTTGCATTGCTGCGCAAACCATGAGTGACGGCGGTGGGGCAATGATCAGTTCCACGGCCCGGTAACAATATTGGCACGCTTCACAAGGAAAGTGAAGTGTTGCTCAAGTGTGTACTTACAAATTAAGAATGATGAACGCAGTTAAGTCCGGTAAGTCTCCTTCGAGTTGGGGATTTAATGACAGGTCTCTGTTTCGGTCAAAAGGAATCAGGATATAAGTCCTTATGTTGAAGGCAGAAGACATGTAAAAAGTTGGGAAGGTCAAGGCAGATAAGTGGCACACAAATGATCTAGAATCAACAATAGGATTTGCAGCATTTGACGGCTGCATCTTCCATTCACATGTCGTCATCGTGGAAGCAAAGTCAAAGTTCCACATTCCACGGTAGAGTTGAGATCGTTATAGCCTCGGAGAACGGGGAAAATGAAGGGAAAGGATGACGTACAGTTCACGAATTTGCACCAGAGTTGAAAACTCCGCCGGTATACTTCCAGTCAAACGTCTATCTCTCAGATTTCTGCCACATTTCACAGCATCAGTACGTGATGGCAAGCATACGATTACCGTGCTCTGTGTAACAAGCACCATTTGGCCTTCCGATGGTGACGTCTCCAGAGCAGAAACTCAAAAAGCTTCGAACTACTACTTACATCCCCTCCACGTTTGTCTTGGCTCCAGTACAACTTATCCAGTCGACAGTATCGCAAGGATCACCAGTCCAGTTTGCCAGATTGAAAGCGTCGCGCAAAACCTCGAGGGCGCTTACTGTAGAATCAAATGCACCATTTAACACTCGTGGCAATTCCATCTTTGCTTAATTAAATCTTAACGAGTAAACCGGTTACACGTGAGCTGAGATGCACGTAGAAGAACAATTATGATTCGAAGTACAAAGCCATTTATTGAGAGGACTAAAAATGATCTACGGGTGTAGATAACACATTACTCTCGTCTGCAACTAACGCGGCGTTTCCTTTTGATATCTGCGTCAGCTCCACCGCGCAGAACAAAAGGATCGACACCACCAGACAAACTGAGCTCATCCTCGTATGTGGCTGCCCCTTGAGTGAACATGCCTTTGAGGTGGGAAACATCGGTCCCGGGCTTTCCACGCGAAGTCCCCAGCACTAGAGGCACCCAACCGCTACGCTTGCACAGAAAAAAAAAACTGAAAGCCCGTAAGCCTGTAAACACACTCGAAATAGAACATTCTTAAACACCTTCGTCTATTGGCTGCCCACTCGCCCCTGCTCCCGTCAGCCCATCAAATTCTCGAAAAATTCCCGCAGCGCGACTCGGGAGACAGAATCAGAAAAATGGTCCGACAGGGCTGTCAAAACTCGAAACATGTATAGAGCTGGTCCCGACTCCCGAATTCGGATCGATGGCGATGGGGAACTCGAGGAACCGATTCAGCACGTGCGACGTTGTGCAGTCATAAGACGAGTCGTCTCGCCGTCCTCGCCACGAAAGTCCTCCAGATGTGGATGCGGGCACGTGTGCAGCCACAGCAAAACTCGACTCAGCAAGGGGCTCTGTCTGAAATCCAAGACCACATCCACCGTCGCTGCACTGTGCGGCAGGTCTACCTGCATAATCAAAGCTCATCGTCGTCAGTTGGTCAGACAGGATGAACGCCAGCACATGTTGGTCGTGTTGGCGAACCTCTGTCAAGCACAAGCACAAGTAGTCAGGCCTCTCTAAATACGGCATATACGGAACTTGAGGGCCAAAGTGCCGTATTTCGTTTTCAGAAAGTTCCTTATTTCCAACCAAAAGTATTTGTTGTCTAGCTGTAGAACCTACCAGAGTCACGTAACTAAAATTTGGGGTGGTAATTTTTGACAAATCTTTGTTGATGTAGGTAGTTTTACTAGAGAAACTTACGCAAATATTCAGCTAAATCTTTGCCGTGATCGTTTCTGGCAATTTCTTTGTTCATTACCGTTACTTTACTAGAGAAACTAATTGAGTACTTGACTAAAATTTTGCGGTGACACCTGATGAGCTCAACCAAGTTCTCATATTTTGTTTCCTTGGTTATCTCATTCACTTGTAATTTTGAAAACACAAAAATTTATTCAATTATTCTAAAATATCAAATAAGTCTCAAAATTTCTCGAAAAAAAAAATACAAAGATAAAATAGTGAACCCAGAACATCACGAAGTCGATGTTCTAGCTATTGACTGAAAAGTTTGATTCCAGGTTTTAAAAATAGATTCCTTCAACATGGAGTTTTTCGTAGTATTAGTTTCACCATATCCAAACACTTCAACGGTGTGAAGAGTGATTTCTCCTTGCTAAAATGGGAAAATATATTTAGAGATCAAAGATAACACCCATTTCTCTCGAGGTGTATTACATTGCCGAAAAATTCGGCCGAAAACTTGGAATTTTAGGTCAAAATTCGGCCGAAAACTGTAGAGTTCCTTATGTTCCGTATTTCGATTTGAAAATTATCCTTATTTTGTTGAGATACGGAACATACGGAATCCGCCCTATATAGAGAGGCCTGCAAGTAGTTGAACTCAGAGCGATGAGTAGAAACGCAATTTACTACCAAACGACGACACAATAAAACAACGAAACCGATGGGAAAATCTGTCCTTTACTACCAGAGGATGCAACCAGACAGGTGACATCGAGCTAGACTCCAAAAGATTATCAATGCGTCCACTCCAAGTCGTCTACTTCAGACGGTCTAGATATTATAATATTATATTCTGGCACTGTGCTGTCACAAAGTTTCTGCTACTTCTCGTAAAACTGAGATCGGACCCCAAGATAGTTGACGGATTGACTGCACTCAGAGGTGACTGGTTGAGTTTGCGATCTTTCACTTCGCTATGAACAATTGCTGTCGGAAGAAGATTGTGGAAACTAGCCTTTGATTTCATGTTCATTTGGTTCTTTGTTAGGTTTGATGGAGCTATTCAGTCTCTCTATGTCTCTGTGATCTCAGATGTATACACTGGTCAACTAATCTGATCACACTCTTTTCAGTAGAGGTTATGTCATCAATGCTTTGCGTCAAATAAAATTTATAATTTATTATATGAGTCATTTCTAACTTGCCGACGTGTCTGATATCAGAAGTTATTTTCCTTCAAGGCAACCACATTCTTTTGAAATGATATTATAGTTGATTACTATATATAGTTTTTTAACAATAAATAGATATAATGATCAATTATAATATTATCTAGGCCTTGAAATGTTGAAATAATATTATTAACTAAGAATTAACTTCCTACACGTAATATAAATAATTCAAATGATAGTTTTATATTATTAAGAAAAAGTTTATAATTTATATTAGAAATTTTCACACATCGTTTTTGTCATAATTTCCAAATTATGTATGCATTATCTCAGCTTTGGTTATTGCATGGCAATATCAAATACATCAGTGATAATTATCACATTGCTGTTACGTTATTTAAATATAAAACTATTTTAAGATTGATAATGTCATTTTGAGACGCACAACTCACGATGAGTGATATGATTTAATTTTCTATCAATGAAATTTGCAAATTTAATACTATATGATTTAAGCTCTAAAATTTAGTGCCTAGTGCAAAATGTTTAAAAGATTATTGATTATTTTAAAAAAAATTATTCACTATAATTCAGCTTTTATTTTAAATATTGAAATTCAAGAGAACATGAGTTCTAATGTACTGTTTTGTGTTTGGTTTGCTACTTGATTTGATATATATATCTATATATCAGATAGCATTCAAGAAGTCTTATATTATTTAAAATGCTGGTTCAAATGAATCTTTTAATATCATAGAGTGAAAATTGACAATCTATGACTCTTGCAAAATATTAACAATAATCATTATAATGAAATATTATAGACACAAAAAAATCTAAGAGTTATTCATAACATGATAGACAAGTAGATTCTTTTGTATTGATATAGATATTGGATCTGAAGATGGAACATAAAATCAGCAATTTGAAGTTATCACATGACTTATTGTTTCTGTTTGTATTTTGTCTTGCTTAATATCTTATAAACATGTTTGAATATTGAATATTTTGAAAATTTTCACTATATTATACTTTTATATCTATTTTTTATTTTTGTAAAATTTCAAGATGTCCAATAAATTATATAAATATGTATATAATTTATTAAAATTATTAAAAAATTAAGATTAAAAAATTTTTAATTCTTCAAATCAATTCAATTGAACGAGATTTTTTATTTAGTAAGAGGTTTTAATTGATTTTAAGAACAAAAATTGATGGAAATTTTTGAATAAGTTTATTGGAATGATGGATTTCATAAAAAGATATAATTAGAAAAATAGAATAATAAGATTTCATGAACAAAAGGAGCTGATGTTAATGTTGAAATGCAAATAGATATAAATGTGTCACTATGGATGTTGTAGATCAAGAACACTTGCAAGGAGACTTCATTTCCATCTACTTATTTCCAATGAGTTGTCTTTTGGTTTCATTGTATTCCACAGTACAAAATCAAATGAGAAAATGTATACATTAAGTATAATGAAAATCAACAGATGCATATGATTTGATCAAAGACGATGATTGGTACCGGTGACACACACTAGAAACTCAAAAACTTTATTAGTTTATTCTGTCAGCTAGAACAAAATCATCTCCTATGAAACGGCCTGCTTGTCTGTGACGTACAACATGCAACCTCAGCTCGTTTTCTTCTTACAAAATTCCATTTCAAGTCAGAATTGTGCCAAGTTCAACACCAACTGCTTGACCAGGCTCATCAGATTAGTTATTGGTTGTTTTCCTCGGGCTCAATTATGGTGCCAAAATTGAACTCACGACGTAATGAAGGGGTACTTGAACGAATTTGCACGAATCCATTAGAACCTACAACTTCAGCTGAACTATAGACAAAGTGACATGAAATATATTTTATCACTGGAAGGGTTTTAATCGGATGGAAAGTTCTGAGACCGGCACTGATATAAGGTAAAATGTATTCATATGTGTGTTGGTGTCAAATTTGCCCATCAAATCCAAAGTTTGCATGTGAGTTGTCTCATGTTCCAAATATCTTAAATTTCTTATGTGTTATGCTTTCAAACCTTTTTCTGCTTATTCGACGCAATTGGAAATCGTTTTGAGTTCTTGGATGTACGGGGATTAAACGTAGGAAAACATTTGAACTGAGCATAATATATTTAAACCTTTTACTTGAGAGATGAACCGATTTCAATATCAACTTTGATAACTTCTTTCTGTTTATTGGGCCTTTCAAGACTTCGTCAGGTTTCCAAGGTTTATGGCACACACAAGAATATATACTTGTCAACGTATATACGTCATCAACTTAAAGGTTGATGACGAAGTCGAATACACGTGGATGTCCAAATTGGAGAACATGTCAAGGTCAAAGTCAATTCAACTCCACCAAGTAATCTCAAGCTAGATTCAGTTTCCAACTGATTAAACTGAGACTGTTTGGTCTATTGCCTACCTGCTAACAACAGGTAATTCAATCCCGCTTGAAGAGGCGATCATAAAGATTAAAATTAGAATTGAATTTCTTGTAGTAATAAATTTCACTAAAAGTTTCTTAGTCTCAGTGTAGCAGCAGTTACGGCCCCATGAATCTTATCTATAAAAATATTATCTAAATATTTATTTTTTCAAGATGTATCAAGCTTCTTCAAGTACTGTACTTAACAATCTGAATTTTTCGGAAATTCACTAATTTCTTCCCGAACGATTGGATTAGATTTTTTCAAAATTCTTGTCTCACCTTGAGATGAATGAAAACCAACAACGAGGATTCAATACTATAAGTATTGTGAATATAACTTTCAGACTCAGATGTTTAAAGTTTTCATTATAAGAAATTAATATTTTAATTCTCTAAACCGCATATAATAATAATAAAACAATACTGACCTTAATACATTTTTCCAAATTATCTACAATTTGAAACCATAATTCAAAGGTCAAATTAAACAAATGCTTAATCCATAATACACACACTTGCTTAGTACGTGCAAATCCGAAAGTAAACTTGCGTCACATCTTGTCATTAGTATGTGAAGAGATAACTCACGAAAACAGGTCTTCGACTGAGGTCCCAAAATGCAGGTTTCCGAAACATATTTCGTCAAATGTAATTGTCACAATTTGAGTTTGAGTGTTGTGTATTGTGCAACGGTGTCATCAAACATAATATAGATATTTTCACATGCAGAAAGTGCATGTGAAAATAAGCTACTACATAGGCGATGTCACTTGAACAGTCAATTCCTTAAACACTTGCAAGGAAAAAAGTTTTTGATTAACTGTTGATGTTACTTATCAATGATTTTATTCAGATTATGCAAAATTTAGAGCAATCGATCACCCTCCGAAGACACCTTTTGAATGAGAATTTATTTGAGAAAGCTATCAAAAGGGTATGACTTTGGGTACCTATATAGAAAGACTATATATTTCCTGTTGATCAGGTAGAAATGTACACAGATTTCCATCGTTATTGTTATTTATGGATATACTATAATATTATTTTTGGTAACGCTCAAAGGAGTATATGATATATTTTGGATGTAATTAAAAATTATTCACAGAAAAAATTTGAAAAATTATCAAGTTTCAAAGTTATTCCAATATATGCACCTTTATAGATAAGAATGTTATGAAATTATGTCACAGTAAGAAGTCCTCATTTACACCAAGCATTAGAAAATGAGTCCAAATAAGTATTGAATGGTACAAAATACTCAATTTTTTCAAACCATCACAAAACTTTCATCAAAAACTGGTACCATTGTGACAATCACACTCATGTCATTCTTGTCACTATTATACAGCGACATGATTTGTGCCCCAAGAAAGGCATCTTCCGAAGCTTTCTTGTAAAATTTCTCCATTGTAAGATCTATCCCTTCTCTAATAATGGAACATAGGAAAAGAAATGGCTGTGTCAGATGTGCTGTTATAAAGGACCGAACATCATCAAGACAGCACTTCCCTAAGCTTATCTCGCATCTGTATCCCACGAAGGAAGAGACTGCAAGCTAAAAGACCTACTGGATGAGCTGACAATACTTGAAGACGTCAATGGGGCGATCAGATCAGCAGTTTTGGAAACTCTTCGATGGCTGTCAGTTGTTGACGAGCTGTCGACATATCCTAAGTCCATTTGTAAGGCTTTAGTCAGCACGCGAACCACGTCTCCCATTTCTGGTCTCTTCGTCCCCTTGGGACGAAGGCATAACAAAGCCGTCTCAACCACCATGATCATACTTTCTCGATCGTACTCGTTGAAGAGGTTCGGATCGACAACGGACTCCAGCTGATCACTGCTCAAAGCACCTTGTACCTGTTTTTTGCTCTCAGACGTTAGAGGATATAATCTCAATATCTTTCATGAAACATTTTTTTATAATGTGATATATGGCCATTTGTTACCAGGATATTCAGAAAGATTCGCTTATCTTCTAATCACAATTAGACTCTATCTCTACCCCAACAGTTCACGTAGACTCTCTTCCACTGCCGTTGCTTGCTACGACTCACCCTCTTGTGTGAAGTAAGTAGCATCACTAAGGTCATAACTCTCTCGATAGCACAAATCAAACTTCAACTCTGAACATAAAAACTCTGAACAAGTCTGATATATAATATTCAAATAGAAGGCTCGTTGTCATCTCAACACTCAAAGTGGTTATCAGCACTTAAGAGTATGATGAGTGCCAAGATGTACTCTTTACTAATTAAAAACACAATATATTTACCTTTCAGTCTCAACTTTGAGATGGGACACACAACTTCAAAATCCCAAACTATAGTGACACACAAATCCAAACCCCTAAACTGAAGTGGCCAGTCACTCTAGAGGCAGAAAGGAAGCCCAAAAATAAGTTACAATTTACCTTCTTTAAAGTAGGTAAGTGACTTTGAAAACAACTCACAACTTGAGAAAGAATTAAGGAAATTTTGTATTTTTTTTGGATATAGAACTGACGCAATGAAATGTATGCTCAGTAAAATCTCAACTTTGTTGTGATTGGATTAGAGTTAACCCGAAAATAAAAAAACCTCACACTTTCTGTGTATGCACTTTGATACATGCAAACGATAACAATGGAGGTCTTCGTACATCATGTGATATCTCGCTTCGGTATCAAGTACTTGATACCGAAGCGATTATGCAGTAATACTCTGTGTTTGCCTATATACAAATTGCCACAACAATGACTAATAACATGATTTAAATAAGTACAAAGACTCATGCAAAGCCTTCTCGATGTGGGTTAGAATCTTACCCAATCAATTATGTTCTTGGCAGAACTGTGAACAAACTTTTGTGTTTGTGGCTTTTTGGCAGTTATAATCTCCAAAAGCACCATGCCGAAGCTGTACACGTCACTCTTGGTGGTCAATCTATTTCGGGTGAAGTACCTGCATCGAGTGACACATGTTTACACATTCATACTTGTCGACTGCCATGGCTTGGAGTTGAGATAGTATCATCAGAAATGTAAGACAACTGTTCAGAACGCGCATACAATGTAAATGAAAAGACGGAAGAAGACTTACTCAGGATCCAGATAACCAAAAGTGCCCTTGATCACAGTGGAAACTCCACTGTCATTCAAAGTTTCTCGTGAGTGCTGCTCATCTGCCTGTTTCGAGATTCCCAAGTCCCCAACTTTTGCTAGTAGCTTCTCAGTTAGCAGAATATTGGAGCTCTTCACATCTCTATGTATAACTGGCGGGTTGCAATCCTTGTGCAGATATTCGAGCCCTAAACAGTATCATCACACATGTAGAATTATAATGACATGCAACTGGAGTTTCTAGAAGTTTGCACGGGTATCTGGGCTTCTACACTGCCTTTCAGTATCATATAAAAGAGAAGACCCAAAACGCAAAGAGACAAAGGAAAGGTGTACCATGTTTTTAGTTCTCTCACCTCTTGCTGCATTGATTGCAATATCCAGCCTTGTTTTCCAAGTGAGAGGTTCATGTAGTGACATCTCATTTGTCGAGGAACTAGGGTTATCTGGATTTGAGATATCTGATTCAGAACCTGAAAAACAAATGCAATTTAAGTTTTAAGCAACCTAACAAAATATGTCCTAAAGCTAGGTTCTACAAATTAGCCTGGGTGAAAACTTCCTTGTTTAGGGCTTTCTTGAAGGAACAATGTAAAGGGAAAAAATAAATTTGAATGAGAAGTAACCGAGAAGAAAAGTACTTTGATAAAGATGATCGTACAAAGTGCCCTTGGACATGTAGTCGTAGAGAAGAATTTGTTGATGTGATTCTAGACAGTAACCAACCAAAGATACAAGATTGCGATGGTGCAATCTTGACAAAAGTCGGACCTGCACCACAAACCTCCAAAACATGTTAGCGTTTGAATTATGCTATCAGTACGATTGCGGTTGTGCTGAAACCTCACATATGCTGAGGTACACTCTGTTATTAGTTTATTAATGTATAGCTCCAAGCACTGGGCTTCAAATCATACCTCATTCAAGAACTCTTCTGCTCCTTGTTTAGAATCAGTTGCTCTAACTTTGACTGCTACCTCCTTGCCGTCTACCAATTTGCCAAAGTATACAGGCCCAAAGCCTCCTTTTCCAATCACCCTCTTGTGATTTTGAGTAATAGCCTTTATTTCCTTCAGAGAGAAACTTTTGGCTGCCTCAGGCATGTCATCTGCAACAGCAGTAGAAACAAGATGATCAGTCCAACTGTGCTCAGGCAGATCCTGATGTAGCCTCGCAGCAGTGTCTCGAAAAAGTAGTTAAATTATGTAAAGCAAAGATTGAAGAAAAAACTGAAGCAACTTTTGATCAAAGCAGAGGAAGGAGTCTTGGACAACATCAGAAATGATTTGAATCTTACGTGCGGACAACTGCCCTGCATCGAATTTTTTGTGTCTACGGTTGTAGAGTATGGTGGCCGAGACCGCGATGATTACAGAGGCAGCTAACACTCCAATCACAATTCCGATTTTTGCTCCAGTAGAAAGACCAGTGGCAGACGTTGCGTAGATGATTCTTATGTTGTCATTGTTAGTGTATCTGCAAATATTCATGTTTTGTTCAAAAATCTTGCGTATCTCTACCAATTGTTACTATTAGTCGACCATGACAATGCGCTGAAGATTACCAACTTACGAGATAAGCAATCGCGACTTGTTCAATAATACGTCCGGTATTCCTGTGAATCTGTTGTTGTCCAGCAACCTGCACATGCAGAGAAGTTGAATCTTCTGTCTGATTGCATATGATTCAGAAGTTTTACATCTTTAAATATATTTGGAATTTTTGTTTACCATCAAAAGTTTTATGATTCATCAAGATTCTGTCTTGACAACTTCCAGAAATCTGTAGGTTTAGATTTCGCATGTTTTTTTTACTGTATAGAAGATTGAATGTAAACTCTTCACTTCACTAGCTGATCATTTGTCATGTCTCGTTATCACATCGAACATGAATGAAACTGCTCAAAGTCAAATTTTACATCGCTAATTCGAAGAACGGGTTTGACATCAACTTACAGCGTGTGTAAATTAGGAAGGTTAGCAAGACTCCGAGGTACATTGCCACTGAATTGATTGTTTCTAAGGTCTCTGCATTCATTGACATCACTAATAGTCAAACCTTCAATGAAAACGTAGCGCCATGATTCAGATCCAGGGCAGATAACACATAAAACGCGAAACAATTTGAAAATCCTTTTACTCACAAGATTTGAAGATTTTGGAGTAGACCAACTTCTTCTGCCATAGGTCCCGAAAAATTGTTATTTCTGATTCTCCTGAAATTCCAAGAGTATCATTGGATGAAGCAGATCGCATTGTTTCTTATAGCCCTTGTGTGTGGTATGAACTCTTCAAACTGTAAACTCATAGATTCTCATACAAGGTTTGTATCAGAGCGTTTCAACAAGATCAGGTTATGCAAAAGAAGAGACCAAATCAGATTAGAATGAAAGAACTCAGGTAAGTCCTTCCCATACATATCGTACTTCAAAAAACCGGAGTAGACGACCCAGCAGCCTAGAGATTCTTATGATAAGTGTTAATTAAAGACGAGAAACAGTATATCAAAAAGCGAAGATGAGAAAGATCCATATCACGTAGTGTTGAACAATTTGTTTTTATCTAAAACGATGGAAAATTCGTGAAATAACTTACAATTCTTTCAAACTCGTTAGAGTACCGATCGCTGGGTCTATAACTCCACTCAGGTTGTTTGAATCAAGAACCCTGAATCAAAATCTTCACAGTCTTGATATCACTACCACCATGATCGTGTTATCACTAAAACCATGGATCATCATTTCACTCTTTCTTACAGATGGAAAGATATGACTTTGGAAACTCGTAAACTACAGTAACTATGATTCAACATATGCATCAGCAAGAGGTTACCATTGACGCAAAGACTCGAACATACTTACATCTCTTCAAGATAAGAAAGTTGATACCACGAACTTGGAAGTCCTCCTGAGAAATGATTATTGCTAAAGTTTCTGTGAACATTTGGGAGCCCGTGACGAAAGATTTAATCATCTTAAACATTGAACCTATAACAACATAAAGTAGTCAAATGAAGACAATTTCGTTTCACAGTTTCGGAAAACACCTACTGAATTAAAATAAAACGCGGAAGCTATGATTTTTATTGTAGAGCTTACAGCGACTTGAGATAAACACCGTTGGTGATTTGGTCGACACCTGCGGGTAGATCTGGTAAATTCCCAGTCATTGTATTGTTGTGAACATCACTGCAAACAGACGGTTTTCAAAAAATTGCAAATACTCTTAGTTTCAGATCAATAGAAAGAGACATTCAACTGTAAACCAGAACAATACAAAGTGAACACAGCTAGGAAAAAGTAAGACATATGCAGCACATATAACGATAATGATCTGCTAATATTAGTTCTTACATGACAGTTATCAATTGTACTGATATCATGGAAAGGTACGAATTAAAATTGTTAGAATAGAGAAGAGGTTTGCTTACATCTGCACCAGTTGCGTCAAATTCACCAAGTCAAGAGGAAATGTTTCCAATCGATTGTTCCACAATCCTCTGATGAACAATCATTTTGTGTTAGATTTCTCGCTGAGTTACACTGTCAAGTCATTATTTTGTGTGAACAGACACCTGAATGGCCTAATTCTAAGTTCATGTTATTTCAAGCCTAAGTTCCAGTTTTCTTATCACATTTGAATGCTGGCTAACAACTTATTAAAATCTATTAAAACATTCTTTTTTTAACCACAATGTGGAATGGTACATGTTTTACCCACTAAATCTCCTCTGCTGTAAGTCGGAGTAAAACTTGGAAAGCTTACACTTTTTGGAGAATTATACTTTTTCTCAAAGCAGGCGAATTCAGCTCTCCAGTTAAATTACAATCGTTTGTGTACCTGCAGATTGCACTCATCATTTAGAAGAGAAAAATTATGTTTCTGACTACAACTTTTTCCTGCTTTACGTATCGTAAAAGAACTGTTCCATTTCATATTTAGCGACAAAACTTCGTTTCAATGTCATTCTCTCACATTTCTTGAAGGGACTTCAGCATACTGGTATCTGGAATGGACCCAGAGAGTCTGGGATTGTTGTTCAAATACCTGCGTCTCAGATGGCGTACCATGATTTCAGAAACTCGTGAGATGAGCGTGACTATGAACTAAAATCCTAGATAACGCTATATGGTTTCAGAATAGCTTGCAGAATAGTATAGGACACCCTCAATAATATTGAGTACGTAGATTGTAGATGTAGACTTACATATGATAACCCGGTAGCAAATGAAGAAGACTTTAAAATCGTGCATTTAGTCTAAATTTAAAGGACAACCTGAATGAGTCTGATCACTTACAATAGACGAAGAGACTCATGGCGTAACAAAGCAGTTGGGAAATCTCCACTGAAGTCGTTCATCTGCAGATCTCTAAACCATCCCATCGGTGATTGTAAGGAAGTAAGAAACAAAAAGATGGAAATAATGACCACGATAATTCAACATGCAACACAATGAATACAGGAACCGTGTTTTTAGTTCAGAATAGAAAAATAACAAGTATGGCTGCCTTAAAGCTCATGCTAGAAAATTTATTTTCAGAGTATCATCTCCTGAAATATCATAGTAAGTGCATGGACTTGAGGTGTACACCTAGATGGAAATCGTTCTGCACTCTTTTTCCTAAAACTACTGAGGCAAACAGGTCCGACTTTTTTAAGCTGCACCAGAGTAAGATTGACACTGCAGTTGCATTCGAGCTTGGTCGTTGTTGTTGCTATACCATAAAGCTTTTTCTTCCAAGTAACGAACTTACAGCGTCTCTAGACCACCCGTGTTCTTCAGGTCCGGAATGTTTCCACTCAAGGCACAGAATCCTGCATTACTGCCAAAATCATTAACGACTACAGTCAGAGAAATTGAGATGATCAGAACCATAAATCCGTACATATCTCTAAGTCAATAGTAAATTTAAAAAAAAAGGGTTAAAAGGTTGTTCTAAAGGGTTCTTACAAAAATTTTAGGTGGATCAAGTTGCTCATGGCTGGAAGAGTTCCACTCAATTGGGGATTATGTCCCAGGTATCTGTCAAGAAGTAAATCAGCATCATGCTCATTAGGAACTAACCGAAAGTTATTGATTACGAATAGCAAATTCAGATACCTCCTTAGACGTAATACTCAGACGATACTTTCAGCATACTTAAATTGTAAGGAAAAAAAATGAATTTCAATGAACATTGTGCAATATGTACGCACTTGAAAACATCACCTAGAGTTTTAGAGTGTTAAATTAAGCAAAACAAAGTGTTGTAAACTGCATACCAGACAAACTTACATCTCTGTCGCTTTCTCAATTTTCTCAATCGATAAAGGGACAGTCCCATTCGCCTGAATGTTGGTCAAATCTCTACATTTATATTCCGAACAAACATGGTGAGTTTATACTACGATTTGAAGGATAAAAAAATGCGGTTCACATCATATAGAATCTTTGCATATGCATGGCTCAATAATTTATTTTCTTGAAGCTGTATGAGAACTTACAGAATCTGTAGACTATTCAGGTTATCTAGTTCTGGAATAGGTCCTCCCAAAGGATTGTCCTGTAGTAATCTGCAAGCACGAGTATCGACTGTGAACAATCACCTAGATTCACTCCGAAACAGAGTAAGATATACGTCCTCTCTTTCGTTCGGAATTGATGTAATTGAATGTGTTGCAGAATCTCATACTAGCAGAAAAACAGAGGTCTTTCTGCTAGTATGAGATTCTTTCATGGCAGAACAAAATTCCTTTTTTTTTAATATTTTACTTTTTCTAGAGTGAGATTTCATTCTACCTTCTAAATAGATCCTAAATTAGAAAAAGCATTAATGACAGACATCCAACTTAACCGGCAGATTTCCACCCATAGTTTTTCATGTGAAGGCAATTGCAGTGCGACCTCATTTTTTATGCTTACTACCACAGGTTACTCATCACATTGGCTGTGAGGAGAGCTTAGCTTGCTGTCAGTATCTCCAAATGAAATCAGAAAACGAAACATGTGAAATTCAACGGAGACTCACAATATTTCGAGTTTTGTGTGGTTGAAAATAGATGCCGGGATGCCTCCACTCAGTTGGTTTCTATTCAGTGCTCTGTACAGCCAATTTTCCCCCATAGCAAAGTTACTGCGCAGTCTAACATGGATGGAATTTCACTGAAGGATGCTGATAATCGAGATCAACAGTGTGTTGAAGATAGGCAGACTTCCATACTCACATTCTAGTAAGATTCGTCAAGACACTTGTATCTGGTATTCTTCCGGATAAGTTGTTGTCACTTAGATCTCTACATACAAGGAAATCGGAATACATAGTCAACTATTGTGGCATTGACAGCGTACTGAACATACAGTCAAGTGCAATTCCAGACATTTGAAGGGCCTAGTTTACTCTGGTTGCATGTTATCAGAAGGAATCCCTGCACACCACAGTGGCTCATTAAAAGATGTGCAATGCTTGATCCTCACAAGTTTTGGAGACTTGTCATATTGCTGAAATCTGGTATCTGACCATCAAGCCTGTTCCCGGCGAGAATTCTGGAGACAGAAGAACGGAAATTAATATCTTCGTCTCAGATTGCGGACTCATAGAAAGGTTCTCGACTAACTGCTGAGTTGAACTTTTTGCATGCAAACGAAAGTAGTAAGTACGGCATTCCGAAGATGAGCAAATGGCAACGCAAGTGATGATGGATTTCATGCAGTCTTCCAACTCTTCGAGCTAAAGGATCACGTACAGCTCTCGAACTTGGCGAAATTTAGTTATGTCAGCCGGTATAGTTCCCGTCAGGTTTTGCTTTTCCAAATTCCTGCCACATCCGAAGCTCACACTTTCTCAACACCTTGACTTGTCTTATTCAATTTGTCTGATTTCTTATGATCATGAGTGGCTACCATGATCATGCGATGCCGAACGTAGCTCAACAGGCAATTAAATGACATGAAGCTGGGGATGGAGGACTTACAGTTTCCACACATTATCAGGCTGGGATAGACCGGAACATGTGATCCACTGAGCGTTTGAGCACGGATCGCCCGTCCACTTGGGCTGATTGAAACTCGTTCGTATGCTTTCCAGAGCAGATTCTGTGAGAGAAGCTCGAGATCAGCATTATTTTCCCCTTGACAACTTCGCGCCGTCGATCGGAAAGTGAGAGATCGAACCAAGAGAAAAGACTTCAATCCAGTCAGAGCTAAAATGAAGGCCATCGAGAACTCGGCAGCAGCAGCCAGGCAACAGAGCGATGGGAAGATAGAAGAGGCGCACGGGTAAGCTAAGTTGCAGTCACGGCTATGAAACTATGAACCCGTTCAAGCAATTTGCTTCATGATAGTACATTACCCTCCTCAGGAACTAGCGCAGCCTGCATCCGCGCCGCAGAGCAGAGCAGAAGGGTCGACACCACCAGAAGAAGCAAACCCGAATTCATGTCATGTGCTTTCTTAACAAGTAGAGCTTTCGACGTCGATGTATCAAGCAAGCTCTCGGTCGCCATACATTGCTCACTTGATGCGATGCGGCTCCACGGACGTCATGAATGTGTAAATCCGCGGTAATTGCGACGGGATGTCTGCTACCACCCGGAAGCGGAAAGTTTTGAGTTGTTGGGAACTCGACCAGCTTCCGCAAAGGACATGGCGTCTACTGCAAACGGTGATTAGCGACACGGTGTCTGATCTTCGTTAAAGCCAATCTCGAAACATTATGTTGTGTATATTCGCTCTGCATCTCGGCATGCGCGATCGTTGTTTATTGAATTGCTCAAACAGATACAGAATTTACTTTGTCTAGTAAATCAGCCGTGGACCGATTATTGAGAGAGCCTTGGCAACGCTTGTGGCGTCGTCACCTCAGAACAGATTTCGATACTCTGGAGAGCTTAGAACTGACACTGACTCTTTCCGCAATCGACAGAGCAGTAGAGACATTGGGACAAAAAATAACGGATTTGGCCCCGTCTACCTGGTGTGGAACAGCGATCTCGATCCCTGCCCTCACCAGGTCAAAGGCACGACTTTCTTCCGCTGAACCACTAGACAACGGAGGTCGGCCTTGCCAGATGTGGAAGTAGGTGGTATTCAAGAGCAATGAACAGTCCCAAGGGCTGAGCCAAACACGTACAAGTTGACTTCCGGTCAAGGTCAAACAAAGTCTGATTCTCTGTTGGCTGATGAAAATTAGAGAGATTTGATCACGCCAGTGTGCTCTTCCTGTTGGAGCCTTCGATGGGTGCAAACATGGGATAAGGATAAGGAGCATTAGACGAGAAGCGAGAAGCGAATAGAGCGCGTGCTTCGAATTGCATCAGCTCTTCCACTTTTCTCATTCCTGCTGTCTCTAATAATGACCTGCCATTCCAAAGTGATCGGTCACGTCACGGAAGTCCGCCTACACCACGACTTCTGGTCCCGGCATGCAGAACGAGTCTCGGACGACCCGGGGCGACCAATCTGATCCGGCTCGACCAGACCCAGTTGCGCTGCAGACGGAGATCTCCGTCAGCAGCGGCTGCTGTGTGGACCTATTATCACCTTTGCGACACATGCTGGACTTTTCGAATATCATCGCTGCTCATTAGTTCGAAAGTTTACTTTTTGAATGCGTCCAAGCTTCTCGATGCGAGGGTCATGTCGATTATACAAAAGTTACGAGGTCAGATTCCGCGTCTTATTGGCTGGGTCTGTACGTTGTGAGGGGCCTATAATTCACATTCTCTTCACTTCTCAGTCTGAACCGTTCTCGGTGGCTGGGAATGAGGCAGCCTCCTCAATGACCATATAATCTGAAAAATTTGAATCATCATCATAATGTATACAGTATAAGCTACCACTTTGTCGAGTTTTTGCCAAAATCAGAGACAATTCATCGAGGTTGGAAAGAGCAAGCCTGACATCCATTTCATCTTTTGCAAAACACTTTCAGTTCGTGCACTGTTTCCTTTGCGAACAGCAGAACTTTGAAGCAAAGGTTTTTTTAATGAAGTCGGGCATTATTCCACTCGAGCGTTCAGTTCCACCTGCTGAATATCTCAACTTGTAAGTGTTTCTATTTGGAAATTTATTGGCGATCCACAAAACTTGTATGTTCTCGTGCTTGAGAACAAATCACCCATTCCTAATGCGCATCCGATTGAAGAGTTCTGTCTCGAATCGGATGTGCATTCAGTTGACATTTCCAATCACCAGCAAAACCTGGCGGGCAAGAACGGAGAAAGTGTTGTTGAAAAGCGGAACGAACGTTCCTTCGCTGTGGCAGTGTGCACTCTGCGGGCGACAAGGTTGTGATTTGGTTCCTGGGTCCGGTGTCCACGAAAATACAAGTCCGAGTGAGGACTGAAACATCATCGAGGTCATCGAGGGTAAAGGATGACAAATAACAACAACAATGATGGACTCAAACAACTTAAGGCACGTCCGTCTTATCCCGCAAATTTACACGATTACCTTCGAAATATGTACAATCTATATCATACATACGACAGCTTATGATCACACTATCGATCTCTACTTCTATCGGTCGAAGTTCGAGTTCGAGGACGAAAGCAAAGCTCTTCGCGAACTCACACTCGGTGGATACTGTACACGTATATGTCTAAACCGAATTCGTATCTAGTACGTGCACTCAAGATCTGGGAACATTAGGTATGGTCACGGCTCGGCTAACGGCTAGCTGGCTATTGTTTTTGTTAGCCGGCTAGTCGATTAGCCGTCGGCTAATCGGGTCACAGATAAATATTGCCACCGCTTTCCGAGACCGAAAACTCGGGCCGAATTTACGTTTTCAGACGATTTTTTCGTCCGATTCGGCCGAAATTATCCAATAGAAGATTATTTCGGTCTATTGCATTTTCGGCCGATCGCCGATTAGCCGACGGCTAGCCGGCTAAATTTGAGGCCCTAGCCGGCTAGCCGAAAGTTAGCCGGCTACGTGACCATGCCTAGGGAACATTACAGTCGTCATGTCGTCTCCTCTCAATCAATCACTAGAAGACGACTCGTTCCCAGTGTACCAATCTCCTGGCACGAGGGAGGGAGGTACGCGCAATCTCTGTCTCTCGCCGTCCCTATCGGGGATCCGTGTTCCAGGACGGGTGAGAGAATTGGCCGGTGGAGACGAAGGACGGCGGCGGGGAGGGCAGAATGATTGGAGGCACTAGCTGGCCGGAGAATGGAACGCTTCCGGCGGTCTCGCTGTCGGGGTTCGGGATGTCCGCGTGTCCCTCCAGGAGCAAGGCTTCGTTCAGAGCCGTCACGATGGCGCCCATCTCCGGCCGGTCGGCGCTGTCGGGCAGGACGCACTTCAAGGCCACGTGGGCAACCATCAGCATGCCCTCGTCATTGTACTCGCCCTTCAGTGTGCTATCCACCACGGACTCCAATTGATCTTCGCTCACTGCGTTTTGTACCTGCCATCAATCATTGCCACAGTGAGAGCCTTGATTTCCGAATCCGATTCGGTCCTAGAATTGCTCATCAACTTCCTGCGTGCCTGATGGCTGGCGAATTCTCTACACATCAGGTTGCTCGGCACTCACCCATTCGGCCAAGGTGAAATCGTCGGCGCCTGAGAAGTCTTGGTTCTGAGGCCTCTTGCACGTGATAATTTCCAAAATCACCATTCCGAAGCTGAAGACGTCGCTTTTCGTGGTCAACTTGCGACGGACAAAGTACCTGAATACAATCACATTCCCCGTAGCTGCAGATGAGAAGCAATGCTCGAGGATCGGATGTACACCGATGCCAATGTCGATTGCACTGAAAGGGAAGTTTAGACGACGAGATATTGGTGGGAAAGAACTCTTACTCCGGGTCCAGATAACCGAACGTGCCCTTGACTGCTGTTGAGACTCCGGTCGGTGGCGCGCCATCCGCTGGATCCGCTTCGGGGATTTGTTTGGAAAGTCCCAAATCTCCGACCTTGGCTTCTAGTTTGTCATTCAGCAGAATGTTGGAGGCTTTCACATCCCGATGAATGAGAGGCGGGTTGCAGTCTTTGTGCAAGTACTCGATGCCTGCAAATCATAACCAGAACAAACTTCAACCAGTGGCATAACTCTGTGATCACTGCCTTCCTAATTCAGCCCGTCCAACGTCGAAGGAAAATGCACATTATAATAAATTTCCTTTTCCCACCTCTGGCAGCATCAATTAAAATGTCGAGTCGCTTGATCCAGCTCAAGGGTTGACGCTCTGGAGATTGATACCTCTTGGCACCAGAACCTGAACAATCGTCATTAGCCCAAGAATTCATTTATCTCCATTAAATGTGAAGCCCGAATTGCAGGAACTCAGTAAGACGAATCAGGATTCTTACTTGCTGCGATAAATCGGTCAGCCTTGAACTTCAAATGTACATACCTGAGTGATAAAGATGTTCATACAAAGAACCTTCGGACATGTAGACGTAAACGAGAATTTGCTGCTGCGCTTCCACACAATAACCAACCAGAGGTACCAGGTTGCGGTGATGTAACCTTGATAGGAGTCGAACCTGGCGTAAACAGGACACGGCAATTGGTCTGCAGTATGTGTATGTGAAGCAAAATATTCGACTTGGCTTAATCTCTATGAAAGTGGTGCCTCTAATATGTTTCTACTACTGGCTCTCTATGCAGAACAATAATCACGATATAGTGGTGCTTGAAAGCAACCTTCCACTACTCTGGTCAAGATCAACATCGTACCTCGTTTAGAAACTCACTATACCCCTGTTTCGAATCTGTGGCCCTGACTTTCACTGCCACCTCCTTGCCATCCGCCAATTTACCATAGTACACAGGTCCAAAGCCTCCTCTTCCAATTAAGGTTTTATTGTTCCCCGTGATAGCTTTAATTTCCTTCAATGTAAACGCGTGTGCTGATTTGGGCATATCATCTGCCAGAGAAACGTTTTTTTAAAAGGTTTAGGCAATTGAAGTCCCCCTCAGTCAGTCAGCCAGCTCTGTAACATCAGACCATTTATAAAATCAAACCCGCTGTACCTTTTGATAGTTGGTCTTTGTTACTCTTCCTTCTCTTTCTGGTCATATAGAGCACGATGGCCAGGACTGCAGCAATTGCAACCGCCGCCCCGATGACAACTCCGGCTATTGCTCCAGCAGACAGACCTGAACTAGACGAACTCTTTCCGTCTATTATTTGCACATTGTTGTCGTATCTGCACAAAGTATCGCTTGATAAATTCAGTTTGTGAAGCTCAATTGTGACCATAACAAGTGCACGGACAAGCAGTAGTACAAAACGGCACACAGTACGTCAGTTCGACTCACGTAAGATTTAAGCCTGGTTTCTGTCGAAGCACTTCTGGTATCGCCGTGAATCTGTTGTTCGTTAGAGCCCTGTAGAGAGAAAGTCACCACATTACCAAACATGTGTAGACAGCTTGTATAATGTATAGGACTTCCATGGATACGAGCCTTGCCAATTTCATTGACAGGGGATGATCAAGTTTAATTACATCAAGTTAAACTCTCAACCAAGACGCTGTTCTTCGCTGATTACCAAGTTTACTTTGTACATGAGAATACTCATGAATTTCACGTACACTCATAAATTATCTACATTATCGCGTCGAGCAGCAGAAAGATAGATTGATATACATAAAATAAAGAAAAGAAGCATTCTAACAAGTTCGAGGATTAGATCAATGCACAAACTGTACGCTGCGCCTTTCGTTGGCATATTATTTGAGCGATGTTACTTACAGATCTTGAAGGTTCGGAAGTGAAGCAAGCGACTCGGGTACAGTACCATTGAGTTGGTTATTCTCGAGACTCCTGTCATCATGCATCTATCGCAATATGAGTTCCCTCACGTTTTTCATGCGACGTTAAATACATCGCAAGGAATACATAGCTAACTTACTTATAGAAAGCAGTAAGAACTTCAGCACATCAAGACCAGTACGACATTTCTCGGACTTACAAAGTCTCCAGCTTCAGAAGAAAACCGAGCTCTTCTGGGATCGATCCTGAAAATTGATTATAGCTCAGTGTTCTGCACGTCAAAGGCAATATCCGTCAAGTTCACATGAGAGCTCTTCTCCCTGATTTACGAAGAAATACTAGTCCATTCCACGTTGAGTACTGATAAAAGAGAGACAATTCAGTGAGACATACACACCGCCATGTCTGAGCAGTGTGCACTTGCACATGTTAGCGTAAAATCGCCTTGTTACGTATCCCGAGTAAAAGCATCTAATCTAAAATATTACGCTCTGCAGTGGATCTTAAGCGCTGTAAAAACCCAAACTTTGATTTCCAAACATAAACCTGGTGATTTTGTAGTAAATCACCAGGTGCTACTCAGAACTAAAAAAATTAGGTGTTGAACGTGTGAGCATTCTGCTTCGTGTGGTAATGTAATGGAAGTATATGTGTATGAAGTGGACGGTCCAGTGTTTAACGTACAAATGCTTTAAATTCGTCAGATTTCCCATTTCCTTTGGTATTACTCCACTGAGGTTATTGTGATCAGCGTTCCTGAATCAAAACACACCGTGACGACATTAGAATAAACCTATGATCGCTAAATCATAAGTTTATGTGAAACAAACATATAACTTTAACTTATAAAATCGCCAGACTTCAACTAAACAACGATGTCAGCAAATCGCATTTGCAGCTATCTTCAGCAATTATGCACTGAGAAAGAAGATGAGCCTAATTTTGAGTTACTGTTGAGGTGAAAGTTTATGGGACATACACTGCTTCCAAATACTTAAGTTCATTCCAAGACTTCGGAATTCCTCCAGAAAAGCGGTTGTTGCTGAAGGTTCTATTGACAACACGACATGGCAGCGAGTTAACAATAAGAGCAAATCAAACCACCATCTTTAAGTTCTGTTATCAGAAGTTATCCAGAAGATAAGATTTGGCCCAGAAGAAAGTCCAACTCTTTGGTGATCTGACGCTTACATCCATTTGAGCTGATTTTCGGCATCCGTTTGAATATAACTTGGAGGAAGATCCGGTAAGACTCCAGTTATCGAATTGTTCTGAACACTCCTGATTAAGAAATGAATTGACAACTCAGAATCGTCAGCGGTTAAAGGTAGAAGGGAAGAAAATGAGCTTGCTGGAAATTTTATGATGGCCAAGAGTGGAGAACCCAATTTTGCTACTAAGTCTTTTGTAGATCATCAGACACGACGCGCAATGATCTATTAAAACATAAAACTCAATACCTGATTAAAGAAATATTCCTGAATTTTCTTGATGTGAAACTTACATCGCTTGCAGATCAGTCAAGTTTGTGAAGTCGGTCGGAATTGTGGTAAACTGATTATTCTCCAAACCTCTGCTCATGAAAAACCCACAAGAAGTCGTTTGTCTCAGCTTTACTGCTGTGAAAGTTTTTCACATCAAGGTCAACATATCTCTATGCAGGTTGAGGTTGAAGGCAGGAGCAAAAGCAGCACGGTGCATTCTCTGCTTGACTTACGTCAAATCAAGTCTCATGCAGGAAGGAGGTGATATTAATCATAGGAAAGAGAATGAGCTCTGTCTTGTAATGAATCTAGGGAAGAACACGAGCTAATTTTGTTCAGAAAGACAATCTCAAAGCAACTTACAGGTATTTGAGCTTCACATTTGTGGTGAAATGGGGCACCGCTCCACTCAGATTACAATTCTTCAACTGGCTGGCAGTGAAAATGTTTTTGTCAGACTTGAAAATTTTTATGAAAAACAGTCGAGCCTCATCACATGTTATAGAGCATTCTGACATTTACAATGCGGATGGACGGAAAGATTTTCGAAACAGAGTAGCTAGTTAGTTTATGAATACAGCACAACCAATGAGATGTATCGGGACTGATTACAATATAAGAAAAGCTTTCAGATCAGCTTACAAGCTTTCGACTTCCAAAAGCCCTGTCACATCTGGAACGTTTCCAGACAGCCTAGAGTTGTCGTTAAGCTCCCTGAGAAATTTGGTCACAGAAGAATGCGGAAGATTTAGAAATTGACCGAAATGTGCCGCAAACTCAGATTGCTGAAAACCAAAACCTCGACACTGTAATATTTCAAGCGGCACGCTTGAAATGTTCTGAATAGCATAGAACATAGTTTCCCCGTGAACTTCTCAATCGAATGAGGAGAGAAAGATCGATTGAGTAGAAATCTTTGTTGTTATCCAGATAACTTACATGTACTTGACTTTCTCATGCTGGAACAAAGCCGGGGGTATGGTTCCACTGAGGTCGTTTTGCGCCAGTTTCCTGTTCAACTCAAGTCATCGGTTGATTACTTCATGATGGAGTCCACACTAGCCCTGACATATAAGTCGCTATTCGTTTCTAAGCTGCTTGATCTTCTTCTACGAATAATAATTTGGTAGAGATTCGAGTGCTTACACTGAGATCAGATCTTTTGCATTTCTCAAATCCGGCAGAGAGCCATTCAATGCGCAGAATCCTGCATCTCTGCGTTAGAGCGTGTGCGTAGTATGTCAGTTATCTTTCCGCCAAAAGAACGCGTGATTTCAGAGATATCTACCAAGTAAGATTGAAAAGTGTGAAGATACACCAAGCGATGCTTACTGACAAGAGGAGTCTTACAGATATAAAAGGTTGCTTAACGCACTCAAATCTGGAATGGCTCCCGTCAGGTTGGGATTATTCTGGAGTCGTCTGCGTCGATCATCAAAGAAAAGCTCAGCCACAATCAGCTCCTGTTGTGGTACAAGTACCAAGACCTCAATCGACTGTATGGTTGAGCAGATTCTTATTTTGATCCTGCTCGTTTTATCGGAATGGCTCAGCATGTCTAATGTGAAATGCAATGGTGTGAGAAATGTGAGAAGATTACATGTGAGTCGCTGCTGTCATGCGACTGATCGATTCCGGAATAGTCCCACTGATCTGAGTGCTGTCCAATGCCCTGCAAACAGCATGGCAATCGTTTACAAACACGGACAAATATTAGAATGTTCAGTGATCTTTGTCAAGGTCTCTCAAATTTATGGATGAAAGTTTACGAAACCGCTTAATAACTTGAAAACCTACAGTTCTGTCACGCTCGTCAGCGCACTCATATCTGGTATAGAACCTCCGAACTGATTGCTCTCCAAGTATCTGCAACGACGGAAACAGATTTGTATTATTAAGCACTGCTCCATGATGCTAATGTCCAGCACGAATTGGAAGAACCAGAAGCCTTCAGCTCTAATTGGAGACGATAAATTAATAGTTGATCAAAGGTTTCTGAAATATCCCGCTCAGGAACGCGAATCAGAGACTGTCACTGTGCTTATATACTGGACATAACATTCCATGTTTCAAAGCCCGAGGAACTTTAGAGAGCGCTCACAGTAGTTGAAGTGTACTCTGGTTGAATATTGATGGCGGTAGACCTCCAGTCAGATTGTTCTCGCTCAGCACTCTGCTCAATCAAGATGATTCATTCGCACGGTCAACTTCAAATCATAAGCTTGTGGAGGCAAACGTGACCATCATTCTGGAATTTCAAGCAAAGGCGACGGCTGACTACACTCACAATCGAGACAGATTCGTAAACGCCGTCGTGTCCGGAATCGGTCCGGTCAAATTTCTCTGTTTCAAGTCTCTGCCGACAAAGAATGAGCATGTTAGTGCCATACGCAGCTACGAGCGGAGCCGCTATCCACAACCACTCAAGTACTTCATGCACAGCGAAAGATGTTTGTGATGTCCTGGACGGAATGCAAGTTCAATCGCCCAATTCAATCCGAAGCATGAAGGAAGAAATGTCGCAAAGTCCCTCGGAAGGCAAGGCAAGTGCAGCTAATGATCTCGCAGGCGCACAAGCAGCTCACTAGCTTTCTGATAAAGACGTCTGGATTCTGGACTGGCAGATCGGCAGACTTAATGGGAAGATTACAGGGAATCTGGACTTACATAGAAATTACGGTCGAAGTTTGCCCGTCAGTAGAACATGTTACCCAGGCCGCTGTAGCTGAGTCGACGCAAGGATCAACCGTCCACTTGGTCAGATTGAACCTCTGCCTCCAATTCTCGAGCGCACTCTCTGGAATATAAGATGCACCAAACGATCACCGTTACCGGAATGCAAAGAACGTCAGCTGCTTCTCTGACGAAGAATTTATGGTTGTGCGCCGAAAGGCAAGGGACTGTGATGATAGAGTTAGATTTTAGAACTTCTCCGGTTCGTTTCGAAGGCATTTTGACGACAACCTGCTTCAATGATTGGACGACATAATGTCCGCACTGCGGTGAGTTTTGACGGGTACCTTCTGCGGGAGACAGTGCTGCATTTGCCATCTGAATATGCATCAGCTCTACGGAACAGAGCAAGAACATCGACACCAGAAGACGAATTGAAGCCCGTCTCAAAAATAGTCCTCTCGTCATCGCCATGGCAGCGGAGACGAGAGCTGAGATTGTCGACGTTTTGCTTGACATGGGACTGGAATTCATGAAAGCTAGTCTAATGCACCAAACATGTCGGACTGGTGCCCGTGTAGTCCGTCACAATTGCCAGCCACAAATGGACGTCTTTAAATCATGCTGGTTCATTTTGATTTTGCTGCTCTCAGATTTAAACTTGAATCAGTCCATGGAAGATCGACAAGACAAGGTCTACAGGTACAACCTCCAAGACCATATCGTTGAAACATTCTAACAGAGACAGAGCCCGTCAAAAAGCTTCGTGCTCAGAACATAAATGAAAGGTTATGATGCTGTTATGCTGCTCTGCTTCCATAAATCTGACAGACTTGGGGAATTATATCCAAGAAGACTGCTCTTCCAAATGTAGACTACTAAAATGTGGTCAATATGGTCAATTGTGTCAGTTGAACAAGCCACGTACAGTACGTAGCTCCTGTACTAGGTTCTCATAGTATCCGCGTACGTTTCTCCGTCTACGTGGTTGTTGGCTACGTAAACATTACTATCGGATTACGCTCGAGAATTATATTTCATCTTTTGGTCTGACAGGCGATCGCTGAACAAGGAAGTGTCCCAAACGAAAGTACAGAGTATGGGACAAGAGTCCTCCCCAGACCAATGCCTGTTTCTATTCTAGTCAATGTCTTTAATGGATCACTTTTGTCCTTTGACATTTTCATGAAAGACAAAACATGCGTGGGGTAAAAACCTACAGCCAAATATTTGTTTACAACCAATGTAGTTGTTTAAATACCTGCATTGTTTATGAAATAGTCGCTTTTTAAACTTCCGTACGATTGTGAATCCTTTGAGTCACAATCACATGCTTCAAGTCAAGTGGCCAACCAAATAGGAAAAATGATGGACATAAGATTTCCATAATATTTATGTTTAGTGGTAATAAAACTTTGCTCGTAGACGACTGAATCATCACCCATGAATAATGTATCACTTATGTCACTTGAAAAAAATAATTCTTTAGAATACACTATGAAGTAAAAATTGATACTCACACTAGCTATACTGCTTGTGAGACAATTTTAACAAACATTCAAGCACTCTCTCGAGATAACGTACAAGAAGTACTCTTGTATAACCCAAAAACATCGGATCTAAAATGTATATTATCTGCATACCCCTTGATGTCTTAGTTCCGCCGCCGTCCATTCAAGAGTAACAAATCATTACTTCATGGGTGAAATGCTTGGCCATCTTCTATCAAATGCAGATATTTCAAGTATGAAAATTGCCAATCTCAATCCAATGTATTCTACTTTAATATATACATCCACATTCAAACTAAATTTATACTTATTATAAATATTTATCCAAAAGTAACGGTTTCTTTAAACCATTATCCTTGGATATAAGTAACGATGAGATATGATTCACCTTGGCTTCCCCCGTTTTGAAGAGCAATGCTTCGACTGCAGAACGCAGTCGAAACAGCTTACTGCGTGACATCGTGGTTACCCTACAACGAGCAGTGCAATGACCTACCAAAGGGACCCCTTTGGTAGGTCATTGCACTGCTCGTTGCTCGGTTGCACTGCTCGTAGCTCGGTAGTAAATTTTATGTTGGGTCGCCTTTAAGGTCCGGTCAGGGGTACGTGGAAGGAAAATTGACAGTTTGAAGAAAGAGAAAGCCAGAACCTGGAATCCCACCTCGTCAGATCTAGGCCATACCGTAACTATCAAGCCCTTGACTCTCCCATCTCATTGACCTCTTTAGACCGCGAGGGAAGATTACTTTCAAGTGTGGAAATTTAGCAGAACCGGATTAGGCTTGGCATACATATTGGGTTTCATAACATACCCCCAACATTCTACTGGATCAAGAGTTTAATCGGTAACAATAGAAAGATTCACAGGATCCTGTAGGGGTTTCCCTTATATTCCACGTATTATACACCATTACAATAACATTGTCGGTTACCGAAAAGCCTTCAAAAAAATTCAAGAAATCTATTGGAGTTGAGCATAACAAAAAGAAAGTCCTCGTCTAGTTTTATCTAGATATTTTTCATGGACCTGTTCAAATCATGGGAATGGGGGACAGGATTTATGGGGATTATTCCATTCCCATGCGTGGTTGTAGGGGATTGTTTTGGAAACCCGGCTGAAAGAGGAGAAGAATCAGTGAAGAGAATCCTTGTCCTGATCATGTTTTCCTTTCATCCCCTTACTCTCTTAGTCCCATTCATTCTGTAAAAAAAAAGTTTCCTCTTCTCGCTATTTGCTTTCTCCTCTCATTCTGCTGGTTCTGCCTTGGCGTCACATCAGTTGAGCAACCGGACCCTTTGAAGCGCAAAATTACTCCCCTTCAGGATCTGCCCCACTATTCTTCAAGGGCACTGATGACTCCAAAGAGGTACGCACTATCGTAGCCTTTCAAAGCTCAAGTCAAGTCAATGATACCTGCTAGCTGTTTCTTCTTGGGAGCTGCACGGAGAAAATGACAAGTGGAATCATGACTTAGTCTTAGTCTTTCTTTATCATGAGACCTATGTCGGATGAGATTTAGAAAATTCTGTAATGTATTCATGCATGCGTATGGTACGGTATGACGGAAGTGGATAGTGAAGTGTACAAGGTAATGACTGGGTGCCATGACATCACTTGTGACGAGGAAAGACTTTTATGCCACTTGAAAGTTGCGATCCATAGATCGAAGGTGTTCCGCACTTTCGGAACCTAATGGAAACTCGGATGAAGAAGTCGTCGGTCCAACTACTGAAGGTGCTACACCGTCCACGATCAAAATTTCCGACATCATCTTGCATGAGTCTACTCTGTATAAGTCAATGCACGAAATGGAAGCCGAGAAGACCAACATCGACGAAGATCGATCTCTCTAAAGCAGAAAATATCTGACAAGTTGTACCTTGATCATGGAGATAAATACATAGTTCATGTAAGCTTCTCTAAAGCATAGGTTAGTTCAAATGGAAAACTTTCAAAACACCTTGAAAGATAAATAATCTCATGGGATTGTTAAATTCACCCCGTCGCCCTAGTTATCATGGCAACAAAACATGTCAAAATTTTAATTTATTTTCTTGTCGCGTTGAGGGTGGGTTCCGAACTCTCTATCTCATATTCTTTTCCCCCTATGCACAAGCTGCATTTAGAGGTGATACTTCATATGCAAACGGAGAAAACATTGGAATATGCTCTTGTTGAGGTTGAACACACACTGGACCTGCTCAACCAAAAGGTCATATTCCAAGACATTTCTCTTCTACCTCCCACTAGAGAGATTAAATACTCTAAAAACACACACTAGTAAGCCTTGAAAGGTCTTTCCAAAGATCTTGTGGCGTTTTTACCTTATGGTTCTTATTTGGTCATCCTTGCCAGCAAGGTCCTACCTACTCCTAGTGCCAATAAAACCGTCATGTACAATACTGCCTTAGTTCCATTGTTGTTGTGGACAACAATCACAAGCATTAAAGGTAAACCCGTAAGATGTCCATCCAGTCCATCCCGACAACCGTATTTCCTTAGTTCCATTGTTGGTGGGGACAACATTCACAAGCATTAAAGCTAAACCCGCAAGGTGTCCATCGAGACAACCGTATTGCAATCAAAAACGTTTCTCTATGTCGTGAAACATTTGCATCTTAAAATTTTTGCGGGTGTCCAAAGTCTCTGAACCTAAACCACGCATTCCAAAAAAAACAAGTCGCCTTCCATGAGATATGTGAATATCAAAATTCAACGAATATTTTTATTTTTATTTTTTGGAGCAAATGGTGAGCTATATTCCATTGCAAAAGGAGATAAGAACACCATCACGAGGCCAAGCACACCCGGAGGAGGTTGGCAATACCGATTTTTGGGTTTTTAAAATAAGAACCTACACCTGTGACAACTACCTCAGAGAACTAACTTAGCTACAAAAGTGCAGCAATGGAATAATAAGAAGCCTCCATAGTCACATAATCTATCAAATGCGCAATTTTTGGGTATTCAAAATAAGAACCTACACCTGTGACAACCACCTCAGAGAACTAACCTTGCTACAAAAGTGCAGCAATTGAATAATAAGAGGCCTCGATAGTCCCATAATCTATCAAATGCACGATTTTTGGGTATTCAAAATAAGAACCTACACCTGTGACAACTACCTCAGAGAACTATGTCGTGCGAATACATATCGCCATACACTCTACATCGCTGACATGCTACTCACATACACATACGCACACACATATAAGGCGCGAGAGAGTACACACTCAAATGTCACAACTCAAAAGAACTGGAGATTCCCCACTGGAATTCCCGTCGGTCAATTACCCTACTGGCAACAAACCGTCACCGTCACAAATATGAGTCAAGCCCAACCCACTCCACACTGGGAGAATCCAGGTCGACGCAAAGGGAAAAGTCACTCTACGCTCCCAACGCTTCCAGGCTCGACTCGAAGAACTAACGTTCTTCGAGCCATCCCCGACTCTATACCCCTCGTGACCGAACCCTAACTTCACATCTAAAGATAGTAAGTGACTAAACTGCGTGAGCCGACTCGTAACTACATGACAGCTGTCGTGCGAATACATATCGCCATACACTCTACATCGCTGACATGCTACTCACATACACATACGCACACACATACACACATATAAGGCGCGAGAGAGTACACACTCAAATGTCACAACTCGCCCCCCTAGCTGGCGGTCAGGTCCCTCTAACTCCCAGGAAGCCCTATCTACAACTACATGCTATACACCTTCGTGGGTGCGCGAACCAGTAGGCCGGGTGCTATGTCGCCCCATCGTTAGTCGCCTATCTGCAATTCATAACATGTGAAGATCAAGTCATCTACCCCTATGAAGTACATCGAGGACAAACCCATCGTCCAGTCGGAATAACATAGATAGGCGGAGTCAGGCACAACATGTGCCATCCCCTAGAACACCTATCACACACCAACATACGGGCCGCCTTACCAGCTGACCCACACAGCATGCACCTCAAGCCAGCACGTACTATCGCTAAGCTTGGGTCCATAGTGCCATCTACGTTTGGGAGGTGGCATGGCGCACAATTGCACACATGATCCTTCCAAACAACGTCGTCACGACCCTCCAACAGGAGAACTCCAGAAGGTAACACCTCCCGCACCCGCAAGATTGTGTGTCCCGCCGTCACATCCAATGTCGTCGGTGCAGTCTGCTGTAGATAGACGTAGTCTCCCACATGGAATCTACGAATTGATGGTCGATAACCTCCTCCCCGAATGGTTGCATACCGCAACGTATCTCTATGTTGAGCAAACGCAAGATTCTCAAACGCTGCAGGCATAACTCTCCGAAAGAGCTCTACACGTTGAGAACATAC